CTTGGGTTGTTACCGACATCTGGTGAAAATTTCATGTCATTAGAACCTCTAGTAATATATTTACTGAGAAAAATGTTGACGTGTTCAATACTTATTTTATCCACTGTATAACAAACGATGGTGCTTTCTTCTTCAGAACCTATTAAACTGCTTAGTTGTTTTGACCAACAACCCAAAACCTCAAAACCCTGAAGAAGTTTGGGGTTGGTTGTGTGTTTTGTGTTGATTTTTTATTTGGAACTCAGGTGTTTTGGTTTCTGAGTGCAAATGGAAACCAGCCATATTTGTAGCAGCTAGTTTTTGAGTCAGAGAACTGACACACTTGTAGGAGGAATGGTCAGTAAAACTGATTTAATGTCCAACAATAAGAACACATAATGATTATGTGTCTTTTCATACAATGTATGCAAACATCTGGTTTCAGCTGTGCCCAGGCACATCGTCAAACACACTTCCATGAATCTTTATATTCCTACGAAGCACCTACTGGAGTCTTCACCTTGGCACAATAAAAGCAAAAGCATTACAAAAAAAAATTACAGATAAATAGATCATAAATTAATTTATATGTGCATGGAGGCTAGAAGAATAGAAAGGGGGTATTAGAATACAAGAAAGAGAAAAAAAAAGTCTGACAATAATGGTTTATAAATAACAGAACCAGAATGACACGCCCACAACATTTCCAACAACCCTGTTATGACCACATTGTGCAGGAAGTCAATTACTGCCAGTTGTAGAATCTAATCCTAAAAAAAAATCATCTTTCTACCTGGCTTCTGGATGACAGAGTTACAGGCGTTGGCAATCTCCTCCCGCTTTGCCTCATCTGGGTACTGATTCTCCATGAAGAAACTAGAAAAGATCAAATACATTATTTGCAACAATTAAATCAAACTGCCACATGACAGTTACATCAGTTCTACCCCAATTTTACACCTCATTGCATTTTAGCCTTCTTATTGACCCAAGGGAGATATTTAAGGGGATTATTTTTAAGTATTTGTGGGATGATTATAAATAATGCGGCGGCTGTGGTGTAGTGGTAGAGCAGCCGGCCTAGGACCTGAAAGTCTTAGATTCGACTCCCCGTCATGCCCACGTCGTGGTGTCCTTGACCAAGACACCTAACCCTAACTGCTCCCCAAGCGCCTCACATGGCTGCCCGCTGCTCCACTTGGGTGTGGATGGGTCAAATGCAGAGCACAAATTTCATCGCGTGGAAACATTCACTGATGACCAATAAAGCACATTTACCTTTATCTTATAATTTATAGCTATACAGACTATCTGGTCTCTGTATAACCAAACCAAGAGCTGTGTCCATATTCTCCACACAAACTTGAGCTAACTCAAGACTGGAGATGAGGGCTGGCCCTCGTCTCCAGCCCTGTTTATGGTGCCCATAAACAGGATCTCAAAGTGCAGTCATAAATAGGACAGTCTCTGTTTCAGAACCTCAGGTTCTCTTCTGCTTTCTGTGTATGATGTGGTTCTGTTGGTGTATTCAGGTTATGATTGGGCTGAGAGTTGGCTCCAGAGTCCAAGCTCAGGTGTCTCAGTTGGTTAAACATGGAACGCACCCTCCATGCTGGGGTGAGTCTTTTCCTCAAGCAGATGAGTTTATTAAGCAACAGGATGTTTTATTCACAAAACTTTCCTGTTTCCACCAGAACTGTCTGTCGGGAGCTCCACAGGGTCAATATACATGGCCCGGCTGCTATAGTCAAACATCGGTTTCAATGGTGCAAAGAGTGCAAATCTTGGGCTGTGGACAATGTGAAACATGTAATGTTCTCTAATGAGTCCACCTTTATTGTTTTCCCCACATCCGGGAGAGTTACAGTGTGGAGAAGCCCCAAAGAAGCATACCACCCAGACTGTTGCATGCCCAGAGTGAAGCATGGGGGTGGATCAGTGATGGTTTGGGCTGCCATATCATGGCATTCTTTTGGCCCAGTACATGTGCTAGATGGGCGCATCACTGCCAAGGACTTCCGAACCATTCTGGTGGACCATGTGCATCCAGTGGTTCAAACATTGTATCCTGAAGGCGGTGCTGTGTATCAGGATGTCAATGCACCAATACACACAGCAAAACTGGTGAAAGAATGGTTTTATGAACATGAAAGTGAAGTTGAACATCTCCTGCACAGTCACCAAATCTAAATATTATTGAGCCACTTTGGGGTGTTTTGGAGGAGCGAGTCAGGAAACGTTTTTCTCCACTAGCATCACATAGTGATCTGGCCACTCTCCTGCAAGAAGAATGGCTTAAAATCCCTCTGACCACTGTGCAGGACTTCAATATGTCATTCACAAGACAAACTGACACTGTATTGGCCACAAAAGGAGGCCCTACACCATACTAATAAATTACTGTGGTCTAAAACCAGGTGTTTAAGTTTCATTGTCCAACACCTCCCTGTACATTGCAACCCTCATCAGTGGTTATGATAGATTATAACCGAAAAAACAAAATCCTGGATACAAGTGGCTGAAATGAGTTTCTTCTTAAAAGACAGTGTGTAGGATTTTGTCAAGTCTTTTAGCCGAAATTGAGATAATCACTAATGACAATAATAAAAAAAAACATGTCTAATCATTGCAGACAAAGACCTTATTTTATTATTTTTACCTTATAAAAGGCTGTTTATATCTCCATGGTCGCGGGTTGCCACACAGGCAGCCACCATCTTGCACCGCCATCTTGTCTACGAAGGCTCATGAAGGACAAACTGCGGTGGCGGCGTCAAAACGGTTTTAGTTGTAATACTGTAAATGTAATATTTGTTGTCTGTCATTGTAGCTGGGATAATTTTACTTATTAAAGCTCATAATCTTACAACTTGAAACATTACTAGCCCTGAAGCTGCTGGTAGACATCGCGGTTGGAATTATCAAAGGTTTTTGACACCTGAGAGACACCATAGCAATTCCTTTGCGTTTGGAAGCAGGGGATGGGGGTGGGGGGAGGACCAGGGAGGATGATTCAACCACTAGATGTAGCTGAAAACAACAAATCCTACACACTGTGCCTTTAAGGGTGGCTGGGCTCATGTGAGGAGTTTTTAACTCTAATTTCATAGAAATTCAAGCAAACACTTTTATAGACCTTTCCATTGCAATCGTTTTTACATTACTTGGTTGTTTCTGCTGAAATATTGATATTTTATGCAATAAGGTGATAAAGGTCTATAAATTAGCATTTGCATGAGTTGCTCAGGGAAAGTTGGTCATTGAAGTTGTTTCAAGAAGCACCAATTTACTTTTAGGTCAAATCAGTCAGATCCAAACCGAGACCACTCAAAGAGCTATAAATAACAGATAGGGAAGTATTGTTGTTCATTACCTATTGAAAATATTTAAAATAATATTCTTTTAAACAGAATGTCAGGTTGAAAACCAATTCAATATTTAAGCACAATAAATATTACAGAATCACGTTTTTATACATGCGAAGATGTTTTTGGTAAAAGAAGTAGTCAAAATCAAGTCAGTTTTTTCTAATCAAATTTCTTTTAATGGCTTAGATTTTTTTTTGTCCCTGCTTGGCTGAATCATCTCACATTGCAAAACACAAAGAGATCAATTCCTTACAGCTCTCTTACACACACACACACACACACACACACACACA